TACATGGTGTGACAATATTTAAAAGTGTTATGCAGAAATGGGATGCCTTTAATTAGCGTTCCCGTTAAATGTAAATACCCTGTTTTTTTCTTACCACGTTTGCATTCAGTACTATTTAAAGTATACAGAAATAGAGCTATCAACCTAACACTTGAAATTGTTTGAAGGAATCAAATGTTGGAGGTGTTCACTGAGACCCAGGGCTAATCAAGGAAAGCAGAAGGTTGTTATGGGGGACGATCAGTTGAAACTGCAAGGAAGGGGACATGAGAAGGGTGGATTGGAGGTGGCATCCCCAGAAACTGATGGCAGGTTGGAGTTGAAGGATCAGGATTGCTGTCTGGGGCTAAGGCTCTTACCTTGTGCAGCTCAGCAGGGCTTTCCTTCAGCAAATTCTGTGACATCAAAGCCTCATCAGAGCAACTTGGACTATGGGCGGGTGGGTCCCGGGCTGGTGTCTGCGTCCAGGGTCTCAAATACGACATGAAAAGCTTTAGCAATGTTTTACGAAGGAGTTACCGTGAGCCCCTTGTCTTCATCCGTATATTGTTTATTGTTGCTATAATAGAATACCCGAAGCTGGGTAATTTATAAGAAAAGAGATTAAGCTCACAGTTCTGCCGGTTGGAAGTATAAGAAGCATGAAGCCCGTATCTGCTTCACCGGCTGGTGAGGGCTTTTGTGTTGCACTGCATCACAAACATCACAACATGGTGGAAGGTCTAAGGGGAGGCGACACATGTGAAGGACAAAACCCAAGGGGTGTCCTGGCTTTATAACAGCCCACTCTCTAGGGAGCTGATCTAGTCTCGCCAGAGCAGGGACACAGTACCTCGAGAAGGGACCCAGCCACTTCTGAGGGATCCACCTCCTTGACCCGAACACCCCCGACTAGGCCCCTCCACCCAACACCACACTGGAGATAAAATTTCAACGTGAGTTTTGGTGGGGGGAAACAGCCATATCCACACCATAGTGTCCCTAAAGAAAGGAAGGTGCTGTTTCTATTCTTGGTGCTGAGCCTATTCCAGCAAGCACAGCAGGTTCCTTTTACCCTGGCATACATGAAACTGCACTTTTTTTAGGATTTTTTTTTTTAAATGTATAATATGTGCTTAGGTTCTGAGAGTAAAAGCACTTAAATGTATTTCCAGGATCATGTTTCCTTTTTGGAGATAAAATTCAGCTACTTTCCTTTTACCTCCTGACTTTATTTGGTATTGCTTTTCCACTTTTACCAGTTACTTTAAATAAATAGTTCAACCAAGAGGCATTTGGTACCTGCCTTTGCTCTGTATATTGTACTCTGTACATATTGCATAGGCCTGCATAGGGCCACGACATAGTACGAAACAACACGCTCACTAAATCCTATAATTGCCAGAATTGTAGGATCCTCACCTTTGAAAAAGAAAATCTTAAAATGGGAAGGGGAAGGATTTTACTTTTTCCAGCAGATAGAAAACATGTAAAACTTGTCCTGGGTTTGTAAGCCAAAAATATAAATAAATTTAGGGAAGTTAGACAAGTTGAGGCCCAAAACATTTTTCAGTGATTACAGAAAGAACTTGCTGTTACTGAGAGTTCGTTTTCCAGTGCTGGAGGATCCACAGGGCCAGCACCATGAATCCAGTCTCACTGGATCGGCCAGGTGGTCATTTCTTCTCACACTCCTGCCCAACGTTGTGTGATTTGCGTGCTCAAGTGTCAACTTACATGTGTTTGGCAGGTGACCTTGGGAAAGGTGTTGAAAGTGATTGTCGTCATGCGGAGCCTGTTCATTGATCGAACAATAGTAAAGGGATATAACGAGAATGTCTACACCGAAGATGGCAAGGTAAGCATTCTGGAGTCTTGTGTGTTCCTTGATGTTCTGTATCCCAGAACAAATGTAGTCGAGTCTCAGATGAATGGCATTAAAAATGAGCAATCATAGCGGAAATGATCAACAAACGTAGATTTGTCCGGGTGAGGGTGAACACTTTATGAAAAAACATTTCGTTCTCTCTGCTTGCATTTTTCACCAAGCTTCTGCTTTTTCCTCTAAGCCTGATGCCCTTAGTTGAATTTCTAATTTATCACCTTAGACCCCCGTTGCCTCATTAAACGTGTCTTCTGAGGAAACGGATTTTTTTTCCCCAAGTCAAACAGCTCCTCAATAGCCCAGGGGTCAGCATTTTGCTTTTCCTAGAACCATGAGGAAAATTCCTGTTCATTTGACACAACCTGATGACACTCTTTTTCCACAAAACTAACAAGTCACCCTTAGGAAGTTGCTGTGCACAGCAGCATATATTGAATACTGCTGTTGAAAAAGACGTGTTATTTCCACGGGTGACTTCTTTCATGGAAAGTTCACCCAGGTGAACCCCTAATTCCTTTTGACTGCACAGTCTCCATATGGCTCCACAGAGAGCGTCGGAGGATGCTGATGGGAGCTGACAGCCTTCATTTGTGTTTGCACCGGAGTGTAATGAGCACCCCGCCTGAGATGCCCCACACTCTGCCAGGCCACTCTCAGCGCGGAGCCTGGTCTCCCCACCCCATCAGGAGCCTTTCCTTCCCTCATGACTCATTAAAACGTAAAAGTTTGTTAGCATGAATACTGGTACTCACCACCCAACAGCCACATTATAATGAGAATAGAATGTTCTTCAAAAAAAGGTGGTAACTGTGGCTTAGCACATAGCAGGGTGTTCCATAAGAAGCATGGCCCGTGATATAATGAGATGTGTGTTTTGAACAAGTAACCCAGCATTTCCACATTCCACACAAGTGTTGTCTACATGGGATGCTACTCCTGCTCCAAGGACTGTGCCCAGTTCTCGTAAATTTCCTCGTTGATACCATATCATTCATTGAAGGGAGATTTACTTTTTCTTTTTGGAAAAACCAAATGTCTTTGGAGCACGCGTGTAAAGTGAGTAATCAGTCAGGTATGGTCTGTGCGTCTGATTTGTAAACTCTGACAGCTGCTCCAGAAGGTTCCACACTGTCGGTCAGCAGCAGAGGCAGTACTGAGGGTAGTGTATACCCTCGCAGAGACCATGGGCAGTGGCATTTTGAGATGCCATTCTTGTTGGGTTTTTTCAAAGTTGACAACTTCATAGTCACGCCTGGTACAAAACGTAACCCTTGCTTGCCAAGGACTTAGAAGCGAATTGGAGAGATGGAGAACAAATACGTAGAAAGGTGAGTCATAATCAGGACCGTGCTACTAGAGTTACCAAACTTAGGGTGCAAATGAAGCATGCTCTGAATTGAGATCGTAAGGAGGAGTGGAAATTTACCTACTTTGCATGGTGACTTTCACATTCTATTTAATTGCCCCTTCCTGAAAGTGTGCAAAATAATACACATAAAGCACTTGGCACTTTGCCATCTAGTCGATACTCAGTAAATTATAACTGGTATTATTTTTATTCTACACTTAAAACAATGGTCTTGGAGTACAGAGTCTCATAGGTATGGTGCTTCCAAAATGCCTCTGATCGCCCCTCCTCAGCTGCTCCAGTTACTTCCTTCTTTCTTGTCTTCACCCTTGACTTCCCAGTTTCTCAGAGTTTTTTCTCCCTCTGCGCATTCTCTTTGGGCATTCCCATCCATGTCACCCACACAAGGATCACTCGTGATTTGTTTCTAGATCAGACTTCTTCCCATGTTCCTCAAGTTTAGCCTGTCCAAAACAAAACTCATCATCTCTCTCCCTAAACTCAGTTTCCCTCCTCTTTTCCTTATCTTGTTTAACAGTACCACCACCTAACTGGTTAAACCTTTCTTCCCTTCATCCCGCTGGTCTAGGCTGTCAGTGATTACTGGCAGTTCTCCCTCTTAAGTAACTCTCAAACCGGGCCCCCCATCCCTCTCCACCCCTCTCGCTCCTCTCCGGTTCTCATTATCTCTGCACTGAAGAATGCACGCACCGCCTCACTTCTAGTCTCCAGTCTTGCTTCCCTCACAGTCTGTCCTTCACTTGGCTTCCAGAGCTGTCTTCCTAAAATACACATGCGAGCGGATGATTCTCTTTCTTTTCGCCATCTCCCCCTTGCCCAAAGCAGTCCTCCCCAAAGTAGGAAAGTAGGCTATTAATAGATGTTAGGCAGAAAGCAATGCATGGTCAAACAAGTTGGAGAAACTCTGGGTTAAAGAAAGTTCAGTGGGTTTCTTTACTGTGGAAACCAGTTTGCTGATGTGCCTTATGAATATCTTAAGGGAGTAGAGAGTATGCAATATTTTCCTAATTTATTTGACCACCAAATTCTTTTGTCTTCCTTTTTTCTTAGAACATATTGTGACATTGCCATTTTGTAGAACATACTTCTGAAAACTCTGGCTTGTAGAATAAAATCCAGACTCCTCTGCAAGGCCTCATGGCGTAGCCCCTGCCTTCCTTTCTGACCTCATCTGGCATCATTCTCTACACACACCTCATCTTATCTCCAGCCTCATGTGCTCCCTGTAGCTCCCAGGACATGCCAGACTCTTTCACATATTTGCACGTTCTGTGCTTTTTGCCCTGGGATCCCTCCTAGTCCACCTGACAAAGTTTTACTCTTCCCTTTACACTGGCTGAATGCCATCTTCCTTCCCATCCTGTCTCCATTTTCCCAAGAGCCTCTTTGCTTACGAGCATGGGCTCTAGAGATGGCCGACCTGGTTTGCCTCTCCTTACAGCACAGAGTAATCATCATTATCCACACACCCACAGATTTCAGAACAATCTTTTACTAGTACTAAAATTAGTGCATCATGATTATTTGCATGTCCATCTTGCAATTAATAAAAATACTAACAATACTAACACACATTGGTCAGGTAGGCGCTGCACAAAGCGAACTTTGCCCACAGTGACTGTTGAATCCTCCTCACAGCATCATGACGTAGGGGCTGCTCTTAGATTCATTTTACACATGGAGAGACTGAGACCTAGAATGTTAAAGTTGCCCACCGCCACACAGGGCTGGATCTCAATCCTGCATCTGCCAGGAGCTCCTCAAGGGCACAGGCTCCATCATGTGACTCTTTGTCCCTAGGGTGCACTTCTGTGCCAGGAGCATGGTAGGAGCCCAGTCCTGTCTGGGAGGAGATGATGAAAAAGCCTACTTGGGATATGAAAATGCTCAAGCTGGAATGCAAAGTGGAGAATCAAAAATGAGAAATGGGGACTAAAAGGAGCGCCAGGAATTGAAGTCGTAAATAAGTCAAAGGATAAAAACACACACGAGTAAAGGGAGACCTCGGGCCCTCCTGAGGAGAGATTAGCCCAGCTTCTCTCTTCCTCCTAAGGAAAATGGCCGTGCATTTGGGGCCCTGGTTGACATCAGAAATGTGGTGGGACAGGAAGCCTTGTGTCCCCCTTTACAACTGTATGCATTGGCCCAAGCAGTAAGCAGAGACCCTAAAACTGGAAATTGCAAGACTGACAGAACCAGGCCCCTTTGTACTTTAAGGACACACTGACCACATTTGGCAGAGAAGCTCTCAAAATGACTGCTCCACCCAGAATCTCATCCTAGCCAATTTGATTAGCCCCTTTTTTTCAGAGCACTTCACAAATGATAAAAATAAACCATGCAGACATTATTAGTGCTCTATTTTGAGTACTCTGTGTGTACTTTATTTATATACAATCTAGGCATTAGTGCAATTAACGTGTTGAATTGTCTGGCACATCCCAAATGAAATGTGGCGTCTGGAAGGAGCCACTGGGGCCTGACATGTGTTCTGCAAGAGCACGTTGTTGCTGGAGACGTCGCTGCTCCCGGGACGCAGCCCTGCATTTGCTGAGTTGGTGCCTAGGTGGCTGCAGGGGGCTGTTTTGCTGCAGTCTCCTGGAGCACAGCCACAGAGGCCTGGGTGTGGCTCAGGAAGCCTCCTATGGGCTTAGCTTCTGCCTCTGCGGTTGTCTGTGTCCTCCAAGGCCGAAGCAGCCAGCACATTCGAAAGTTTCATTATCCTTATTGCTGCTGTAGTGGCCCAGCACCACCCCTAATTTCCAGACCTTGCAGGTTTTTTCCCCGTCAGAATCCAGCCCAGCAAGGCTATCACTTTGCGTAACAACCACCACCATGACCCAAGCCTCCTGTCTCTTTACCTGCAATGCATATTTTTGATACCAAGGACCAATAGCCTGATTCCTCTAATAAAACAAAAATGCTTTCGGACTTACCAACCACTTATTCATTGTAATCGGGGAGTAGCAAGAGCCATGACTCAGCATGTTAAAAGGCAGGATTGAAGATGAATACCTGGCCATTGTCCTGATTTTATACCAGTCAGACTTAACTGAAAAAATATGTGTCTCGGTTGAATTTATCTTATTAGGGGATTTAGGTTATGTTAATGCTATAGCTTCATTAATTACCCCATATCAATAAAAAAAAGGCAGCTTTTAGCCTCCAAGCATAAGAGAGGAAAAGGAATGGTGGTATCAAAGGAAACCTTCAAAGACAGCCAGAGCTGTCTCCAGGGTAATTTCTGATCCCCGCATTCTTCCCACTTCAAAGTTGGCTGTGTGTGTGCATGTGGGTCGAGGGGGTGGGGAGCTGAATCTGATTTCTCTAATAAGTGTTGGCATCAGCCCTGTTTGATATCAGATGCAGGGAACATTTTGATTTGTTATAGCCTTTGAAATTGTTCAGACGACCTTCAGAAAAATGGCCTCTTGTTACTTCTAGGGGGAAGGGTGAAAGCCAGGGAAAGGGGAATCCAGTTTAATTCATATGCAGAGGATGCCCTGAAATTGAGCTTTCAGCAGTTTTTTAGTAACAAATGCATGTCCTGATTGAAAGTGAAAAGTTGAAGAATAATAGACCTGTAACACTGTGTTCTTGGGTGAGGCTCTTGTTCACTCTTGTATTCTCTGGGGAGGGTGGGCGGATCTGAGAGGGTGACCACATAGAAGTTTATGGTTTTGAAAACGTGGGTAACCATGGAGAGCTCCGTCACCATAGCTGGTTTACAGCATTCTACCCAAACCGACAGGCCTATCACCTATTCACCTTGCAAGATGAAGCTACTAAATAAAGGTTCTAAAAGTTGGAACCTTGTGTGGCTTATGAGTTTTATTTAGATAATTTTGAATCTATTCCACTGTTTTTTGAAATGAAGTAAAGAATTGATAACTTTCTGATAAGCTGCCAAAACGTTCACGTGCTGTTAAATGAATTTTAGCGGCAGTGGTTGTCACAGCAGCAGGCCTCAAAGCAGAACTGTGCTCCTGGAAGAGCTGCGCAAGTGACAGCTTAGGGAGCGTGCAGCCCCAGCATCCCGCCTGCCATCTAGCTGGAAGGCAGTCTCTTCCTCCCAGGGGAAGAGCTGGGCCTCTGCACACAGACCTGGTTTCAAATTCCCCACCTCGCATTGACTATGCAATGGTGGACAAGTTGCCTAACTTCTCTGAGCCTCAGTGTCCTCATCTGTGAATCGGAAAGGATTTTATCAACCTCATGTTATCACCAAAGGAATTTTAAAAGATAATGCAGGTAAAGGGTAGGCCGAATGCATCATCTTCATCAGTAAATGGCATCTGCCCTTGCTGGTTGTGATGGAGGTGGTGGTGGTGGTGGTGGTCAGCATTGCAGACAGAATCACCTGCCTGCTGATATCGGGTCACTCTGATTGTTCTTGTCAGTGAATAAATTTGATTTGTCACCATTTTCACCAGTTCTTCCTGTGTATCAAGAGGTCTTTTGATATCTTGGTGTTTGCCCCTAAGAATAGATGTGTCTGTGCTAAAGCAGTTGGTCATCTGCAGGGTTTGTTTTCATTTCACCTGAGAACAGACCACACCCCACCCACCCTTAAAATACTTACTCCAATCCCCAAAGGCCAGGAGGCTGCTCTGAGACTGCAGACTCAGCCACCAATTACCGCAAGGTTGACTTTTGTGTTTTCAGATCTTTCTAATGCTCACAGTACTGAAGGGTGCTTTGCTTTCTTTTTCCTGGCACTATAGTTCAGAATAATTTCTTGTTCATCAGGCTGAAGGTCTGCAGCTTCCAGAATACTCCTTTTTTGAATATTGCAGCCAGCAAAGAATTGGTAGCCATGTCTGCCTCTGCAGCAAATAAGCTGAAGCTAATAAATACTCACTTGGATCAGTCCTGGCTCCCTGAAATGAATTTCTGAAATCTTCCTGGCCCTGAGGAGAGGCAGGGCATTGACTCCAGAATGCTCATTTCATTGGCTTTCTTTGGCATAAATCTAGCAGAAAATCAAGTCCGAACCACCTGCTGTGCACTCCTAGCAAAAGAGGGCCCTATTGTTCAGAGGTTCTTTTCCACCCATGCGCGCCAGGTAAATAGACCGTATTGTCTAAGGTCCTTCTGTCCCAGATGGTAGGAGCTTTTCCCTAGGGTCCTGAATAATATATTTAAACCTTTTAAAAAGAGCATCATCCTCACTTTGAATAAATGTGGTGTGTGTGGAGAATCCACAATGAGGCTGGAGAGGCCACGTTTTCACTAAACCTATGCGTAGTTTTCTCTAGATTTTTTAAAATTAAAACATTTTTCAGATACTGAAGAATTTTTAAATATGTTTATCTTTAAGATAAAAGCTATAACTTTTTAACCTAGCAGATTCTTCTTTTCTGTTTTTCTTGGCTCTGTGTTTGTGTCCTGGTCTGCTTATGTATGATGTAAGCAGGCAGGAAGGGTAAACAGTGAAGAAGTTCAGAAGAAACAGCTGTGGGCTCAAAATGGAAGGAGAACTGTATTAGTTCCAAGTTCAGACATCGGTGTTCCTTTTCCTAAAATTGAGATTTAGCATCTTTGGATTCTCCCTGTCATCTTGGCAGTGATTTTGGTACAACTAAAAGATGCAAAAGTCATTCTTATTCATCCTGCAACCCCTGAATCATCTTTAAATGCTGCATTTGTTAAGCCCTGGGCTGCACTGCTGCACTAAGAAAGTAATACGAACCTGATTTATCCTCCCAAATATGACCAGCTGCCCAACAGTAGTTTTCTTCAACAGAATTGATAACGTGGGGAATTAATTTCATATGTTTCTTTTGAGGTTTCCCTCAGAGTTATCTGGAGGTAACATGTCACTTTTCCCCTTGCAAATTGTTGAGCTGTCACATTATAATTCCAGCGCTGGAAGATCTTTAAAATTCTTACTCCATCCAGTGGTTTAAGTTGGGGGCACTGACTGGCAATTGACACCACCTTTCTGAAGAGCAGTTTAGCCAGAGTAGAAAGAGGGTGATCTGTTGAGGGTTTTTGTGGCAATCCAAGAAGGAAATGATCGGTGCAGGCAGTGGGGGTAGGGAGAGATGGGTGAACTTGAGGTTCATTTTTCCGATTGAATGAATGAATGCTGGATCAGTGAAAGCTCCTCCATGATTTGTCATGGAGTGCGATGAACTAAACCTCTGCCCTGTCCTGCAGAAGTAGAGTGGCCTCCTCAGAATCATCTTAACCTTCTGTGCTGTCCTGAAAGTCTTCAAACACAGTGAAATTTTCATGAAACTAATTGTGAACAGGGAAAAGCCAGGAGAACTAAATGTATATGCCTGTTCACAGCCCTGCTTTTAATTTCCAAGCACTGTTTTCAGAAAGCCAGGTTTTAGTGTCTTCTGCAGAATAGACACAGGGCTCCTAAGTGTTCTGGGTCAAGTGCAGCACATCCTGTCCTGTCTTCTTAAAGGACTTTTTCTGTCCAGTGGCTTCCCAATGCTTTCTGGTACTCCAAAATCAATCATACACCACACAGGCCTAAAACGCCATGGCCCAGGGTTCTACCTGACCACTGGCCAACCTCAAAGGCAGGTTCCCAGAGGCTCATTAACCAGGTGTTCCATTCACTCAGCTCTTGAACTCATATATTAAAGTCAACTTTTTAGCACCTATGGGACACAGTGATGGCTTTCTCATTTCCTCATTGCCCTTGAACCGTCTCTGTCAGCACTGTATTGTGGGTAGTTCTATTTTTGCTGTACTTAATTTGTTCTAAACTCTTGAAACAGAAGGTATTGATCTGGTATATCATGCAAACCAGTAAAAACCAAAATGGTTTTGGTTAGAATGAGCTACTGAAGTACCCTGTGTGTGACCAAGTGTGGCCAGAGGAGGACTGGACTGGGTTTACTGTGAGCCCTACCCACATGCCAACTCACACCTCCTCCAGCTTCCTCATTCGTCAAGTAGGGGCGCCCTAGAGCAGGGGCTCTTGACTGGCCAGGCGTCAGTTACCCTTGGGAGCAGCGCTACAAAACAAACAATGAAACAGGCTCTTGGGCCCGCTCCAGCCACTGATTCCATACTCTAGGGGAGGAACTGAGCAATCTGTATATTAAAAAACAAAAACCTTCCCCCAGGGGCTTCTGATGCCCAGCCAGGATTTGAGCACCATCAGATGAGGCCATCTGTAAGATGCCTCGCCAGACAGTCTTGGGCTCGTGAACGGCTCTGAGCTGTTGTTTCCCCATCTGGAGAGGAAGACTGTTCATGGGACCAGCCACGTGGGCCAGTTCTGGGAATTACACGAGTGTGTGTGGAGGGCCTAGTGCGGTGCCTGGCATGGAACAGGTGCCCAGCAGCTGGACGCTGCCAGCTTTCCTCCACTCAGAAAAGACCTACTGATGCCCACGACATGCCAGACCCCATTTGTGGACCGGGGGAGGCAGTGGGAAGGAAGGCAAGCCTCCTGTCCTCACCGAACTTCCATCCTGTGGGAAAGTCAGGCAGGAAACAAGTAAATAAAGGAATAATCGAGCTTCAGGCAGTTTTAAATGTTATGAAAACTTTAAATTTTGAAATGGTAAAGAGGTCCCAGCATAGTGGCTCATGCCTGTAATCCCAGTACTTTGGGAGTCCAAGGAGGGCAGATCACCTGAGGTCAGGAGTTTGAGATCAGCCTAGCCAACATAGGGAAACCCCAGCTCTACTAAAAATATGAAAATTAACCAGGCATGGTGGTGCACGCCTATAGTCCCAGCCACTCGGGTGGCTTGATCCTGGGAGGTGCGGGTTGCAGTGAGCTGAAATCACACCACTGCACTGCAGCCTGGGTGACAGAGCCAGACTCCATCTCAAAAAAACAAAGTAAAGAGAATCAAGGTAACAGGTACCAGAAAGAATATTTTGATAGGGTAACTGGGAAGTGCCTTTCTGATGAGGTGACATTTGAGCTAAAGGGGGTATAAGAAAAGCCACACAGGGGTTTATGGGAAAAACAGTTCAGGCAGAGGGCACAGCAAGTGCAAAGGGCCTGAAGCAGCATTGACCTTGGCATTGAGAAATGCAAGAGCCGTGGTGAGAATCAAAGTTGCAAGTGAGACAGGGGCTCAGCCTGCAGGAGCCCTGGAAGCAGCAGGTACCTCAAGGTGACTTCCTGTATTCCTCCATTTGCTTTTCTTAACTTACCTACAAATGGAAAAAGAAGAAATTAAGTCGGACAGTTAAGATCCTTTTCAACCCTGAGATCCTATTATTCTATAATCAGATTTTTTTTCAAGTTTAAGAAGGGTTAACAGTAGTTACAATATGATTTCTTGAAGTCCCGAATTCTAAGACCGATGCTGATGATCCTTCTCTCCTTTCCCCTTAGCTTGATATATGGTCCAAATCCAACTATCAAGTATTCCAGAAGGTAAGTTTTACTTTTTGCTTCTTACTCAAGTGGCATTGAGAAAACCTGAATGCTTTGAGATTTAAACATTGGTCTCAAAACAGAGGCTTTTGAAAAAGTGAAAAAAGCCAGACAGAAAAGGATGCTCACTGTCTGATTCCATATGTATGACATTCTGGAAAAAAACAAAACCTTAGGGACAGAAATCAGATCAGTGGTTGCCTAGGGGAGGGTACAGGGAATTGACCCCAAAGGGGCACAAGGGAACGTGGGGTGGTGGGAATATTCTGTATCTTAATTGTGGTGGTGTTACACAACTGTACATGTTTGTCAAAACTCACGACTATATTACTACAAACGGGCAGTCTTATTGTATGTAAATTATACCTTAGGAAAACCGTAGGTTTTTGAGATGTTCCAAAAACTGGATTCTGAAAAACCTAGTTTTAAAACTCGGTTTCTCAGAGCCCTAGCGGTTTCCGCTGGTGCCTAAGGGATGGACCAAGGGAGGCAGGCTGGCAGTCCCTCACGCAGCTCCTTCCCCACTTTGTGCTCTGGGGACACTGTATCTTTTTCAGATATTGGGCTTCCTTATGAAAAACTGTTATGGAAAATGTCAGATAAAATGAAAAGTGACCAGAGAAAATTCATTCCCCCAGCTCCTGACAGTGCAGGGCCCCTTCCCTGGACCAATTCAGGCCCTGTAGCTGATGAGGGTTCTGTGCCCCCCCGCCACACCCCCACCAGTCCCCACAGTACTCAGGGCCAGCTCCCTGCAGGGCAGCAGCCCGCTTCTTCTGTTCTCATCCATCTTCCGTCTCTGGTCTCATCCCGTAGTGAAATAAGAGAGTTGGCCATCATCTCATTCGTTCCCTCATCCAGCTCAACAAGAGGTATCCACTCCCCAGCACTTTGGGAGGCCAAGGAGGGCGGATCACCTGAGGTCAGAAGTTTAAGACCAGCCTGGCCAACATGGCAAAACCCTGTCTGTACTAAAAATATAAAATTAGCCGGGCATGGTGGCGGGCACCTATAATCCTAGCTACTCGGGAGGCTGAGGCAGAAGAATTGCTTAAACCTGGGAGACAGAGGTTACAGTGAGCCAAGATTGTGCCGTTGCACTCCAGCCTGGATGACAGAGTGAGACTCCGTCTCAAAAAAAAAAAAAAACCGGTATCCACTGAGCCCCTTTGCCATGTGCCAGGCACTGTTAGGTGCCAGGGCCACAGAGGAAACTCCCAGCAGGCAAGGAAGCCTAACAAATAACTCCAGGTGATTAACCGGGGGTTGTGGCCAGGAACCACAGGGGGGCCTCCTTCCGATTAGGCTAGTCAGAGGAAGCCTTTGTAGGGGAAACTGAGGCAGGCAGTGTGAGAAGGAGGAGCCAGCCATGCGAAGGGGGAACAAAGTGGAGGTAGAAGGCAGGGTTCAGGTCAGGGAGGTACCTCTAGGCCCTGGTGCAGAATTCGGATTTTATCCTTAATTCAGTGAGAAACCACTGACGGGATTGACACAGGGGGATGTGATTTTGAAAGCTTGGTCCGAGTTATCCCCATGATGAAGAATGGTTGTGTCTACCATGTGCCAGGAAGCATAGGACTCTTGTAGATTGAGGTGAAATTCACATAACATGAAATTAACCGTTTTAAAGTGAATGCTCCTTGGCTTTAAGTGCATTCACAATAGTGTACATTCACTACCTCTGTCTGGTTCTAAAACATTTCCTCACCCCGGAAGAAAATCTGGTGTGCGTTAAGCAGTCAGTATAGGACTTAGTATCAGAGGGGCGTCATGGACCACCCTCTAGTGGTGTTTACTGTACATCAATCCACAGCGCCCCCGGGCCCCTTTTTGGTGATAAGGGCTAGGCAGAGGACAGGTGCCTAGGATTAGGGGAGTAGTCTGAGGCTGAAAACCACACATTTAGGGAACCTATATTAGTGTTATAGATTCATGATCTAATCACAGCTAAATGCGCAATGTACTACCCTGGACTGGATCCTGAAACAGAGGTTACTACTGGGGCCAGGCACAGTGGCTCATGCCTGTAATCCCAGCACTTTGGGAGGCTTAGGTGGGTGAATTACGAGGTCAGGAGTTTGAGACCAGCCTGGCCAACATGGTGAAACCCTGTCTCTACTAGAAATACAAAAATCAGCCAGCCTTGGTGGCGGGTGCCTGTAATCCCAGCTACGCAGGAGGTTGCAGTGAGCCACTGTACTCCAGCCTGGGTGACAGAGCAAGACTACATCAAAAAAAAAAAAAAGAAGAAGGGGGAAGGGAGGAAGGGGTTACTAATGGAAAAACTGGTGAAATCCAAATAAAGGTTGGAGTTCAGCTATGAGTGAGTAACCAGTGTTGGTTTCTTCGTTGTGACAGATGTGCCATAGTAATGGAAGATGTTAACAGTGGGGCAACAGGGTGAGGGACATGGGAACTGTCTGTTGCATCTCTGCAGCTTTTCTGTAAATCTAAAACTGCTCTAAAATAAAGTTTTAACAAAGAAAATCATAGCTTTACTCTTCTAACACCCCTTTACCCAACGGAGCTCCCTGGAAATGTAATGGAGAAAATAGCCTCCCTCCCTTCCTCCCTCCTTCCCACCCTGTCTTCCTCCCTGGTCCCTGGATCTGGAACATAAAAGAAGGAAGGGTGTGGTTATGCACAGGCTTGAGTGCAGGAAACTACATTTCTCATCTTAGTGTTCTTATCTAAGTCACCATACTGGAGGTATTTACTTGTTTCGCATGCAAAAGGTCTCAGCCTTCAATGCTAACATTTTCCCTGCTGACTGTCCTTGTCATTTTTCCCCCAGTGGCTGGTTGAAAAATATTCTGAGGAGAAAGAACACTGCTCATTATCTGTATCTTGCTCTGCTTTAATAGTGAAGAACATTAAAATGGTTGATTTTTCCCCTCAACCTCGTCCTTATCTTCATGTCCTCTGTGGTATTGCAATGAGTTCCCTCTCCTGGCTCCACAAAAGGTGAATGATGACTTCTCGAGGGCTGAATGATGACTTCTCGAGGGCCGCCAGCATTGCAGCTCATAACTTGGTCTTTAACAATGGTCCATTTCCATTCCAATTCCCTTAATGAGGGAGGGGCTTGCACATGCTCACTTTCGCCTGTTTGTTTTTAATGTTCTTGTATTTTTTAATGCAAGCAGAAAGTGTATTAGGAAGTTGTAAGATGTGTGAAACACAGATTTCGTGAAGCAGATTTAGAAAGACAGTGCTATATTTTTATCCTACCTCCCTTGAAAATAACCTGCCAGGCACTCTTTGTATTTGTTTAAAATTACAAACACACTCTGAAGCAGAAGTGTTTAAAATTTGATATTAGTCTAGTTGGAGAGATTTAGGAGCATCCGCCAATTCCTTCCTTCCAGTCTGTGTAACACGTTTCAAGTAGTAAAAATTGATGAATTCTAAGGAATGGGAATTTTATGTCACTGGTGAGTGGCATATCATGTGTATTTGTGCAGAAGCCTTTCTGAGATTCCTTTATCATCTCTCCTTTCACCTATTATTAACTAAGTGGACTTAACCTCTGATATTGACCTGTAGCAGATTAAAGAAACACAATTGGGAGAGGTGGTAGTGCCTTCTGATTACAACTAAAGGCAGATAACGTTGAAGCCTTTTTTTTCAGGGACAAGTAAGAATTAAATTAGTGAGTCCTCTCTCTTGCCTACTAAAATGTCTTCCATTTGCTGTCAAATGAAGGAAGCGTATTGGAAAATAATATACAGAATTAAGCTTAATCCTTTATCAATAAAGTCTTCAACTAATCATCATCACATGGAATGAGTTTGAGATCTTGTAAAAAACAAAAATGTCTGTCTGTATCACTGAGCTTGTGGGAGATGGCAGTAGAAAGCACAAAGCATGCATGGTGTAGTCTCCATCCCAGGGAAGTGACTGCCGTGCCTGTTTCATCGTGTTCATCTTAGTGGCCAGCAGGTAGATCTCCCTGTGCCACCACCAGGCCCTGCACCATATGCAGAGGTGGGACCACGTTGTCCTTTGCAGATTCAGAGACCTGGCACAGTTTATGGGGTGACGTTAAGTATTTCAAACCTAAATCACCAAAAGAGAAGGATTCGGTGGCAGCATTTCTAAACTCCGCTTTTTAGGATTTGCTATTTCTCAAGATTCTATTTTCCTCCTGTCCACCCACTTATACATGGGGTGTCACGATCGATGTTGCTTTTAGTGTTTCCCAGAAAGACGCTGTTTGGGAGCACTGCGGCAGACATCTTCCACCTGCTCTGCCTGTTTACATGCAGCCAAGTCGACTGGCCAGGGTGGCGTTAGTGCCCAACACCATCCAGAAAAGCTCAGCCTGCAGCAGTGGCGTGAAGTGCACTGGGGAGCGGCGTGACATGCTGGAGGAGGCTCCTTGGTCATCAAGAAGAGGAGATTGCTCAGGGTGAAGATATGTCCTGACAGTGGTGGGAGGTACCAGAGCTGTGCCCACCTCTGAGATGGGAGTTCTGGGCCACCAGCGGCAGCTCACATGGCATGAATGGTGGAATTCTCCTCCTGCCCTAGCTGAGGTAGAACCCCGAGAGCTCCCTCTCCTAGGCCTTCACCATGTGGTTGCAGTCACTGTGTTGGGTCTGTTTTCTTGCCCACAAGAAGCAGCCGTGGCCAGCCCAGAACGAGGGAAAGCAGAACTGGGAAAGCAGAACTGGGAAAGCAGGAAGCCCCGCCGAGGTCCCTCCTTCAATGTGACAGGGGAGGGGGATTGCCTTGCAGAGCCAAACCAAGCTAACACTCACCTTTTTATTTCTGGCAAACAATGTCAGGAGGTAGGAGAATGGAAGCTTGTCCCTGTCACATTCTCTCAGGCCCGTGCCTGACCCGCTGGCTTACAGCCTGAGCACCTGAGCTTCTGCAGCAAATCCCACCACAGGAAGCAAAATTCTGCCTTCCTTTTGTCTGCAGACGTTCACGCCGTCAGCAAGCCCTTTTCACTCTTCCTCGTTAGACTCCTTACCCAAGTGTGGAAGTAGCAGAGGGCTGGGGACAGCTTGCTGTGGGTCTGTGGCTGCTAACAGGTTCCCATCATTTACTGTGGTCCCTGGAGGCTCCTTGCACTTGGTCCTAGGATGAAGAAGCTTTTTATAGCCAGCAAGTCTCCAGCAGAGTAGATTCAGAGAATGGGACTTAGAAATGGGTGGGGCGGGTGGGGGGTGACCATCTGAAAGGGCAGAATCACAAAGAGCTAGGAAAGGTTTCAGGCGTGTTCATATTTTTCTGACATTTAAACTCTGCAGGGGCAGCCACTATTTTGATCTTTAACCCCTTCATTTCAAAACAGTGTGCATTTTCTTCTAGCAATTTAGGGAGAGTGAGAGCAGACTGACAGCTACTCACTGCATTAAGTCCTGCTGGGGTGGCTGGAGAGAGAGGTAGAGTGTGTGTACCGCCCAGGTAGGCAGGGGACACCGAGAGAGAGGCCCAAAGGGACCTGCACACACTTTACAGCTTTCTCATCAGAGGTAAGGGACAGCATGAAAGTAGCCCACAGATGTCCAGCTCTCAGTCCACAGTCATTGCAGAAAGATGAGTAACCCTTTCAGTTCTGCACCATCTGAACTTTTAGCTGTGAGCAAATGGATTGTCCATGGTGGGTCATGTTCTGGGCAGAGTGCCATTTGCTTCTTCATTCCTTTGTTCATTTATTAGTTGATTATTTTTATTTTTTTATTTTTTTATTTTATTTTTTATAATGGAGTCTCATGCTGTTGGCCAGGCTAGAGTGCAGTGGTGTAATCTCAGCTCACTGCAACCTCCACTTCCCAGGTTCAAGTGATTCTCCTGCCTCAGCCTCTAAGTAGTTGGGATTACAGGCATGCGCTACCATGCCCAGCTAATTTTTGTATTTTTGTAGAAACGGGGTTTCACCGTGTTGGCCTGGCTGGTCTTGAACTCCTGACCTCAGGTAATCCACCTGCCTCGGCCTCACAAACTATTGGGATTACAGGCGTGAGCCACCACACCCGGCTTGTTCATTCTTTTTAATATGCAAGACTAGCCCCTAACTGAGGCAGACTTTATCAAGGTCTGTTTACTTGGTGGCCACCTGGTGCTTTTCAGTAAAAGAGATTGAGTCAGCCCTAGAAGACTCAGTTCTCTGAAAAGTGGGTGAACACCTGATATTGCATTGGTGGGTACACGGAGAACCTAGCTGACTACCAACCCCAATAGTATTCAAAAGTCTTCACCTATCTCTCATTCCACCTCCTAGGGAAGGAAACTGTTTCAACATGGGGTCATTCCCCAGGGATGGGACCCATCACCTTCCCCTGAGTCAGGCTGTGCTGCACACCTCACTCGGGTGTGTGGAGCCGCTGCAGCATTTCACACCACTAAGAGGCCCCATCAACAGTCATTACGTTATTTTATTTATTTATTTGAAACGGGGTGCCACTCTGTCGTCCAGACTGGAGTGCAGTGCCATGGTCTTGGCTCACTGCAACTTCCACCTCCCAAGTTCAAGCAATTCTCCTGCCTCAGCCTCTCGAGTAGCTGAGATTACAGGTGTGCACCACTACACCCAACTAAAATTTTTTTTTTTTTTTTTTTTTTTTTTTTTGGTATTTTTAGTAGAGACAGGTTTTTACCATGTTGGACAGGCTGGTCTTGAACTCCTGACCTCAAATGATCCACCTGCCTCAGCCTCCCAAAGTGCTGGGATTACAGGCATGAGCCATTACGCCCAGCCACGTTATTTTCAATCTCTAACATTTCCTCCTACCAGCCTCCTCTGCATTTCCTTCCAAAAGCCTCTCTTCAAATGCCACAGATGAAGGCCTGGAAGAGGCCATGGTTGTGACGAAAGTTCTAAAACCTCAGGCCAGATCTCAGTCCTGTTCCCTGTTCAGCACCCTGCACAGGTGAGACCCCCACACTCAGAGGGACTCCACAGCCGGGAGCAGCCTCCCAGAGTCGTTGAAGGCCCTTCTGCCTTTTACAGATCTCAGCCCTCTGACCATCCGCCCGCCTCTTATATGGTGATTAACTTTTTCCAACAGGGAGAGCTTATGTTGTAAGGACAGAATGTGGTGTCATTTTCATCTGTTTCTGTGCGTTCTGTTGCTGCCTCACAAGTGTGTTTCAAACAGATAGAACTGAGGGGACAGCTTTCACCCTTGCGAAGGGAAATGGGCCGCTTCATGTAGCAAGACAGAGTCCTATCCGTGACTCCGATGAGTGGTGTGCCCAAGAGATGTGTGTGTGAGCCCGCTAGTGGGCTGGCGACGGGCTTCAGGGAAGGAGCGGCGGCAGACAGTCCCAGGGCGTCCCTGAGGGCAGCCGTTCCCTCAGCTGACAGCTGGACTGTATTGACCAGGTCGCCACGCAGAAGCATCAGCGCGGGGCCCTGGGAGCTGAGAGCTGCAGGGAGGGGCGTCAGGCTCAATTCGACAGCCGAAAACCCTTTTACCGCCACCTTCTCTCTTAATGGTCTTGTTTGAATATTCATAAGCATCTAAACCCCGGACAGATTTGATCATTTGTTCTCCTCTTATGCCGACCCAGTACCTTTCCTGCACAAGGCTCCCTCAGCCCCTGCTGAGTGTGGGCATGGCCCGGGAGCTCACATGGACCCAGTTTTATGGCTAAAATTGAACCAGAAAAGCCTGGGCCATCCTGTTGACTTTCTTAGGGCGCGCTGTGTTGCCCTGGAAGTGGTCTGTGGCTTTCCACCATTAGAGGAGTCACAGAGTAGTCATCTGTCATCTCTATAGCTTATTTCTTCCTGAAGGGTTGTGAGGGCTGCAGTGTACTCAGGTCAAAATCTGAAAACTGCTTCTGGGAAGAACACCCACCTTCCCATTCCCCAGGCCTCCGTCCTCAGCCCATAGGGCTGTAAACTCCATGCATGGGCTGCCAACATAGCAGGACAGCCCCCGCCCATCTGCTCTCTAAGCCCAGGCTGACCTCCCACTATGTTCCCCAGAGCGACCATCCCAGAGAGAGGCCATATAGCACAGTGGCTAAGAGCCATATGCCATGTCATCAGGTCCCAGCTCCCCCACCTATTTCCTGTGTGGATTCACTTGCCTCAGTTTCGTCATCTGTAAAACAGAGACGTGGCTAGGCGCATGGGTCATGCCTGTAATCCCAGCACTCTGGGAGGCCTAGGGGATCACGAGCCTAGGATTTTGAGAACAGCAACATGGCAAAACCCCATCTCCCCAAAAAATAAAAATTAGCTGGGTGTGGTGGCATGTGCCTGCGGTCCCAGCTACTCAGGAGGCCGAGGTGGGAGGATGGTTTGGGTGTGGGAGGTTAAGGCTGCAGTGAGCCATGAGAGTACCTGCCCCACAAACTTGGCGTGAAGTTGAATTCATAGGTATGAAGTGTAAGGTGAATTTCTTGTCCACCACCTGGCCGACTTCTCTGAAGAGTCTGTCAATGGTGACACTCTCTTCTCCTGAGAAAGCTATCCCTCCATCCCCTGTGGGCAGGCTTCCTCCCACAGGCCTCTTCCTCAGTGACCACCCCTTCCGTCTGTGCTTCCCATATCTCCGCAGTGGACACGGTGGCTAAGGGTATAGGCTGGAGTCAGACAGACCTGGGTTTGCGCCCAGCTGTCATGTGTAAAGTCAACCCAAGACCCAGCTGCTATGACAGACCCACCCACTCCCACCAAAGCATTGTCCGCCTTCCCGTTTTTTCAGGCATGTTATCTGTGCTTCTGGTCACAAAGTGAGCTGAAGAGCCTGTGAGACACCACAGTTACGGCCACGCAGCAGTGCCCTTTGTGCAGCCCTGACATGCTGATGTAGACGACATCCTGGGTCCAGGACCTGGATCAGTCCCTAGGGTCCTGGGAGGGCCAGTGGCACAACCGGTGATCTCCGGAAGGCACCCGAAATTGAGATGTTGTGCCCCAATTTCCCGTTTCCCCCACTGAGCAGGAGTGGCTGGGGGGCCGGCGCCTTGGCGGCTGAGCTGCGTCTTGGCGGGTCTCTCTCCCAGCTCTGCAGTCTGCATTCTTCTCCGGTCATTACCTCAAGTTTGATGGAGAAGTAGGTGGTATTGTCTGTGTTTCCTGGGAGCCCAGATGTCTTTGGATGTTTCTCTGACTGCAAGGCTGTTCCTGCAGAAAATAATATCACACCAAGTGGGTGCAGAACAATTCAGGTGTCTTTGGGCTTGGACTTTCCTGGCAGCCAGGGACAGAAACTGACGTTTTGCCATCTGGAAAGCACTGAACTTTTTTCTTTTCATCTAAATAAAAAGCCTTAATTTCTTAACCCTGAGAAATGTCAAAGACCCTGTGCGTCTCCTCGCAGCCTTGCACAGGGCCTTCGGCAGACATGGAAGGCGGTCAGGACCCTGGAAAGCACAGCCTCTCACAGGGCCTTTGGCAGACACGGAAGGTGGTCAGGACCCTGGAAAGTTCCCTCGTGTGTACCCTGGGGCTCCCCTGTTCGCCCAGGCCCCACCTCCCAAGCAGTGCCCACCTCTGCTTCTCTACCCCATCCCTTCCCTGTCACTCCACTCCCCTTTCCCCAGTGGCTGAAAATCAATACGTACACTCCTGTCCACTTTCTCTCCCATTCACTCAGGCTCCTGCTAGGTGAGCCGCACCCAGTGCTGAGCCACAGTCCTCTTGGAGACCCTGAGCTAGGCCCAGGGAGGATGGAGATGTGGCAGGTGTGACCTCAAGGAGAGCATGGCTTGGGGGACAGGGGCGTCTGGTCACAGGTCTGGCAAGTGCCCAGCGGGGGTGTGCAGAGGATGCTGCTGAGAGTACAGGCAAGGGGGGTGGGCTGGGATGGGGAAGACCCTGAGCTGAGTCCTGAGGGGTGAGAAGGGCTTAGCCTGACAGGAACATTCCAGGCAGAGGGGCCACTTGAGCACAGACGTGCAGCCAGGAAAACGTGTTGGGGCGGGAGGCGGATTCCTCCAGGAGCCGGCATTGCTGCCATGGAAGGTGGGGACTGAAGGGAAATGCGGCTCAGAACCAGGTCTGCAAGGCCTCCTTTGCTCCTCCAGGGCTTTCAGAAGGATCCCGTAGGTGGCTGTGGAGTGGCCAGCGGGGGCGCATCACCCCTAAAGGCTGTCTGCGACCAGTCTGCACTCAAGGGTCCAAGGAGTTGGGGGCTTCCCTCTCAGGCATCAGTGGCACCCTGGCTGGGACTTCAAAGAGGATGAGGTT